ATTGGGCTGTCCCTCTGACAGCATCACAAGCTGTCCCCTTCTACTCCCCCACGTCCCAGAGCGCTGCTTGGAGGAGACATTTGTACAAAGTTGAAACGAGACAGGAAAAAGAAAAGCCACTTCTGAGCTGCCAATTTCAAAAGGAAGCAATGCCAAGTAAAGTGACCTTCAGCTGGAGCTTTGCAAATGCCACAAAGAGCATCTTTAGGTGGCACTTTGCAGGCTATGTGAGCTCACTCGCTGGCCTGCCCAGCGGGCTGGAGGCAGCTGTTTCCCAGGAGTTACACAGCCACAGTCAGCATGGCCTGGAGCCCAAGATAACGAGCCCTGCTGATAGGTAGGGTAAACTAGGTCAAGCTTGGCATGGCCTTATGTGGCTTCTGGGTGGCCAGGAGCACAGACAGAGCTTGGCCATCGGATGTCAGGCTAGGCATACCCTGAAGGCACCTAGAAAGATCAGTATAGACATATATGCTAGCTGCTGGAGCCCACAGCCCTGTAAGATGTGAAAACCCCCTGTGGGCAACCTCTGGTGCCAAAGCGACAGCAATTTCCCTCCCACACACCTCCTCCTTCCTGGTGTCACTCTCCTCTCCCAAAGAAGAAGTGAGACTCAACAATTTGTCTTTGAAGAGCTTCCCCCATCAACCAGCAGATACAGTTGTATGAGATCCTTTCGCTACCAGCTTGTAGAGCATTTGAGTTACTCAATTTCATTTCTCAGTATATAAGACAGTCATCAAAGTATCTTTCATCATGTTGCAGCCATCTTGGGCAGATCATCACTGACCATGGCCATAAAAGTGACAGAGGCCTGTCTGCACCAGAACACATGCTGTCCAACACTGATGTGCTGCTAATTACACTCATCTGGAGAAGACTTTGAGTTATTTCAGGCTTAAAAAAAACTGGTTTAGCTTGTACCTCGCATCATCAGGGCTGCTGGGGATAGAAAGCCTTCCACCAACATAGAAGAAACATTTTGGGGTAGGACTTAATGTCTTGTTTGTCAGTGCTGGAAGCCTACAGAGCAAAGCTGACTCATTCCCCCTATCTGGATGGGTTTGGCAGTAAGATGGAAAAATATTGGACGGAAAAGAGTTGCTCCTTGGAGCCCATGCTGAGGGAGGAGGTAGGCAAAGACATTCCCAACCAGACCTCCCTGCAGCTCTGCGTCGTGCGGAGCCTCTGGCCAGAAGGGCAACGCCAAAGGAACAGAAACGTGTAACGGACCCTTCGTGAGCTAGGACCACCCAGGCACATCAAGGCAACAACTCAACTGGCTGCCCCTAGGTCTGTAAAAAGATGAAGGGCAATAGGTGGGGAGAAAAAAGGGGAGATAAAAAAATTTGGCCAAGGCACTGGGCAGATTGAACAGTATTGAGCAGAGACTGAGGAGAGAAGGTGTGTTGTAACAAGTGTATGGTACCTCCCCAAACCTCCAGGCAGAATATGAGCTCTAAATAGGGACATGTGGCCATTTCTTTCACAGCTGAGTGAAGTACAAAAAGTAAATGGCCAGCATAAAAATAATGAGGAAAATGAATGAAAACATCAATTCCAAAAGAACTATTAGGATCCAGGGCCAGATTTCGAAATTCTCAGCTTCCACAATTGAAGCCAGATTTTCAAAAGCATTCAGTTCTTGACATGCTGAGCTCTCCTGAATAGGCAACCAACTTATTTCGATGCCTAAATGGGAGCTGACCTCTTTTGAAAATGCTGCCCTTAAGCAGCCTGCAGTAGTGCAAAGCAAGGAACTTTATTAATCAGGCAGCTTTCGATCTGCCCGGCGTCCCCGCAAGCACCGCCAGAGCGGGCTGCAGCAGGAGAGGTGGCCAAGGTGGGGAGCAGAGGAGACCCCAGGCACTCCAGTTGCCTTCCCAGAGGTGGTGGTCCTGGGCAGGGGTCTGCTGTGTGACAGTGTCCTGCTCTGCTGTCTCCTTTCCCCAAGGCAGATATGCTACAAGATAGCCCAGGTCGCCAACTCTCCTGCAGCCACCAACACCACCAGCCCCTGCTTAATTGCTATCTGGGAAAAGAAAGAGTTAAAGGCACTTAAAGAGCTTTGAGGGAAGAGAGAAAACAAAAATAATTTGTTTATTTATTTTTAATTCTTTCCTGCCAGGTTAAAATAACAATTTCCTGTCAGTGGAGGGAAGGCTTTAAGTCCCATTCAGACAGCCCAGTAAATCAAAGGAGGGGCCACTAAGAGAACAAAATTAACGAGAGCTTCATCAGATAGGGGGGTGGGCATGGGTGTAAAATCTGTCGGCTCGCCTTCCCGCCCCACACCTAAGCCCACCGAGGCCCCCGCACGCAGCCCAGCTGTGCCCTGGCCATGGAGGGCACTGCAAAGGGAGCTGAGCAGGAAAACAAACAACAGAGGTGAAGATATAAATGGGAAGAATGGGGCATGCGTGTGCAGGGGGGTGACAAAGCTGGAAAGGAAAAAGGGATCTGAATTAAGTGCAGGCAGCAGGAGAGGTGTTTGCTGATTAGAAACTGAAGGTTTTACTGAGGAAATGCTGCCCACAGGCCCAAGCCCCCTCCTGCTTAACAAGGGCTGGCTGAGCAGCCCTTGTTACTGCCACGCTGTCTGTGATTTACAAGGCTCCCAAATAGGAACCAGCCTCGGCTCCAGGGCACCGTCCCCACGCTGCACACCCCAGCTCTGCAGGCAGGGGGGACACGCAGAGGCAGGCTGGGTCAGGTTGGACACATCCATGCTGTTACCCATCACTAAGACCCCCCAGGACACCAAGCATGCTGGTGCACATGGGGGCAGTTTGGGGTTGTGGCAGGCAGACAGACCCCGAACCCCTCTTTGTGCAGGGGAGGAGCAGCAGGAAGGGGAAGGGGCTGCTTTGCACCAAGGCAAAGGCTGCAGCAACTCAGGTCCTGCTACCAGCTGGGGACACCCTGGGGACTCTGGAGGATTCATTGCAGCTGGTCTCCGTTCCAACGGGTCAAGCAGGGACAATGATACTCCCCATTCTCCGTTTTATACGTTGAGACTTAAGCTCTTCAGAAAAAGCAATGTTTTACACAGTACAGTGTGCCAATTCTACTTGTAATCAGTTTTAATACAAGACAGTATTTTTTTTTGTTGTTGTTCCATAGAGCTTGAAGCACTGAAAAAGAAAATGTAAAAGAGAAAGTATCCCTTTGCTTTACAAATTAAGGAACCTGAAGGCTAGAAGAGGAAGCCAGTCTGACCCAAGGTTATACAGTAAAGCAGGGGCAGGGCTGGAAATCAAAGGGTCTCTGACTGGGACCTCCACCCCATCAGGCAAGTTGTTCTTGGATCCACTTGAGCACATCTTTTGCATCCCATCTGAAAAAAGCCACCATACAACTGTATAATCCTCTAGCTGAAAAAACACTGTCAGGGTGACACACCTGAGCAGGTCAGCTGCAAAGTCCA